TTTTCCCCGACGACTGCTCCCCTGCAAACCCTCCACATGGACGTGTGGGGCCCAGCCCGCGTCAGTGGGCAGGACCGCGAGCGGTACTTCCTGCTGGTTGTTGACGACTACTCGCGTTACACCATGATCTTCCTCTTGCGCACCAAAGGTGAGGTCCCTGATGTTTTGATCCCTTGGATTCGCGCTGCCCGTCTCCAGCTCCGCGAGCGGTTTAGGACGGAGTTTTCCGTCCTGCGTCTGCACTCTGACAGAGGTGGGGAGTTTTCCTCCGACCTTCTGCAGAGCTTTTGTCGTGGGGAGGGCATTCGCCAGACATTCACGCTTCCGGCCTCTCCGCAGCAGAATGGGGTTGCTGAGCGCCGCATTGGCTTGGTCATGGAGGTCGCTCGTACCTCCATGGTCCATGCGGCTGCCCCCCATTTTCTTCGGCCGTTTGCGGTCCGCTACGCCGCGCATCAGCTCAACCTCTGGCCCCGTGTCTCCTTGCCGGAGACCTCGCCCATACTACGGTGGACGGGGGAGGTAGGCGATGCGTCGGTGTTCCGGGTCTGGGGTTCTCGTGCCTTCGTCCGCGATACCACCGCGGACAAGCTCTCCGCCCGCGCTGTTCCCTGTGTCTTCCTTGGCTTTGTCCCTGACGCGCCTGGTTGGCAGTTTTACCACCCCACCTCGCGCCGTGTCTTCCCCTCTCAGGATGTCACGTTCGACGAGTCGGTTCCCTTTTACCGTCTCTTCCCCTACCGCACTGCCCCTCTCCCCCCCCGCCGCTCTTCCTCGCTCCAGGTGCTCCCCAGGTAGACCCCCTCCCCGCTCCCGGTCCTGCTCCTTCAGGTGTGTCTCAGGTAGACCCTCCTCCCTTGACTGCGCCGGTTGAGGTCACTGGTGACTCAGGTCCTGCTGAGGGTGGTCCTGCTCGGGGTGCTGCTTCTGGGGGTGCTGAGCCTGGGGGTGCGGAGCCTGGGGGTGCTGAGCCTGGGGGTGCGTAGACTGGAGGTGCTGAGCCTGGGGGTGCGGAGCCTGGGGGTGCGGAGCCTGGAGGTGCTGAGCCAGGGGGTACTGAGTCTGGGGGTGCTGCACCTGGGGGCGCTGAGGCGTCTGGTGAGCAGTCTCCCTGGAGCGGCCGTCTCCGTAGTCGCTCCGCTGGTGCCTCGCCGCTGCACTCTCGTCGTCGTCTCCCTCTCTCCCCACAGCAGCTGCGTGAGTGGTACGTTAGCCGTCAGGGTCGAGCTACTGGAGCTGGGGGGCCTGTTGCGGGAGGCGCTGGTGTTGGAGGCACTAGAGCCGGCGCTGTCCCTCTTTCCCCACAGCAGCTGCGTGAGTGGTACGTTAGCCGTCGGGGTCGCGCTGTTGGAGCTAGGGGCCTTGCCGCGGAGGCGCTGGAGCTGGTGACTCTGCTAGTGGAGGTGTTTCTACTGGAGTTCCTGGAGCAGCTGGTCCCGGAGGTGCTCGTACTGGAGGTACTTGAGCTGCTGGGACTGGAGGTCTTGCTGAACCCGGAGGTGCTGCTGTCGACTCTGAGGTTGGAGGCCCTGGAGCTGGAGGTGCCGGTTCTGGGGGTGCTACTGCTTTTCTAGCGCTGGAGCTGGAGGTCCTAGAGCTGCTGCGGGTGCTAACGCTGGAGGTTCTGGAGATGTTGGAGGTGCTGGCGCTGGTGGCACTGGAGTTGGAGGTTCTGGAGCTGCTGCGGGCGCTGGTGCTGGAGGTTCTGGAGCTGTTGGAGGTCCTGGAGCTGGTGGCGCCGGAGCTAGAGTTCTGGAGCTGCTGCGGGTGCTGGAGCTGGAGGTTCTGGAGCTGCAGGAGGTGCTGGAGCTACTGGTGCTGGTGGCACTGCACCGCCGCGACTGTTCTTCGCTCCGCCGTCGCCTTCGTCTCTGCCACCGCCTGGTTCCATGCTTCGCCAGGTTCTTAGCCTCCCGTCTTCTACTGGTCTTCCGTTACAGCCTGGCTCACCGCTGCCTGCTCCTTCTCCTTACACTGAGCTGACAGGCGTTCTTGCTGAGCGTCGTGAGCCTGCGTCTCGTCCTGTCTCGCCTGTTTGCACTGGTCGTACTAGTCGTCGTGTTCCTCGTCCGCGTCCGCCGGCTGTCCCCGGCACACACCTCATGGCCCTGCGTCCTTCCTCTGCTCCACAGCGTGTTCCCCTGCCGTCTCCTCCTGCGTCTTCTCTACCTGACGTTGCTGACCCTGAGTCTGACCGGTTTTGTACTGAGCACCCTACTGTCACGCGTCTGCTAGCCACAGTTGTCACTGACCCGTCGTTTGAGTCTGCTGCTGCGTCTGCCTTAGTCGCTGAGCTTGTTGACTTTGCTGCTGCCTGTCGTCTAGACTACGCCGCTAGTCTTGTTGCTGAGTCTGAGTCTGTCTATCCTCCGTCCGTCGGGGGTGAGTGTGCTCTTGGCACGGACGTCCTTGAGGACAGGCAGGAGGACCTTGAGTGTCTTGCAGTCGCTGCGCCTCATCTCGTGTCCATGCTGCTTGCCCCTGAGGGAGACCCGGATGCACCAGATATCTCGACTCCGCGTTCTTACGCTGAGGCGATCGCGGGTCCCTACTCCTCTCAGTGGCAGATAGCCATGGACGCAGAGATGGCATCCTAGAAGTCCACAGGCACTTTCGTCGACGAGGTTCCCCCTCCTGGGGCGAACATCGTCGATGGCATGTGAATTTTCAGGGTGAAGCGGCCGCCAGGTTCTCCGCCTGTCTTCAAGGCTCGTTACGTTGCTCGAGGCTTCAGTCAGCAGGAGGGAGTCGACTTCTTCCAGACCTTCTTCCCCACCCCAAAGATGACCACTCAGCGTGACCACGAGCTTCACTCTCTTGACTTCAGCACAGCCTTCTTACAGGGCAGCCTGCACGAGGAGATCTGGCTGCGCCGCCCACCTGGCTTCACTGGGTCGTTCCCTCCTGGTACCTAGTGGAGCCTCCGGCGGCCAGTCTATGGTCTCCGCCAGGCGCCACGTGAGTGGCACGACACACTGAGGACAACCCTTGCGGCTCTTGGGTTTGCTCCGTCGACTGCTGACCCGTCGTTGTTTCTGCGCACCAACACTTCGCTGCCGCCGTTCTACATCCTCGTGTATGTCGACGACTTGGTCTTTGCCACTACTGACACTGAGGCTCTCGCCCTGGTGAAGTCGGAGCTGCAGAAGAGACACACGTGCACAGACCTGGGTGAGCTGCGCAGCTACCTTGGCTTGCAGATCACCCGGGACAGAGCACGCCGCACCATCACACTGACTCAGTCACACATGGTGCAGCAGGTCCTTCAGCGCTTTGGCTTCACCTAGTCCTCGGCACAGGCCACTCCTCTGGTTACAGGTCACTCGCTCTTAGCTCCACCTTCAGACGAGTCCGTAGAGCCAAGTGGTACTTACCAAGAGCTAGTGGGCTGCCTAATGTACCTGATGACCTGCACTCGTCCTGACCTTGCGTACCCTCTTGGCCTTGGCTCGCTACGAGGCTCCTGGTCGGCACTGAAAGGTGCACATGGATGCTGCTAAGAGGGTACTACGCTACTTGTGCAGTACATCGGGCATGGGGCTCGTGCTTGGAGGACGGGGCGACGTTGTCCTCACTGGTCACTCAGACGCTCTTCCTTTGTTCACAGCTCCAGTTGCGAGGCTGAGATCTACGCCATAGCCATGGCTGCACAGGAGTTACGATGGCTCACCTACCTGCTGACCGACTTGGGAGAGCGGCCTCGTTCTCCTCCAGTGCTGTACGTAGACAACAAGGCCGTCATTGCCTTGTGTCAGGAGCACAGACTGGAGCACAGAACGAAGCACATCGCTTTGCGTTACTTCCTCGCTCGAGAGTTGCAGCAGCGTGGTCAGCTTCGTCTTGCTCACATGGCCACTCAAGCCAACACTGCTGATATATTCACCAAGGCTCTTCCGCCTGGTGATCATCAGCGCTTTTGTACTTTGTTGGGCCTTGTGCCTACGTTTCCTCACTTGCTGTAGGCTCTGCATGTACTGTGATATATATATATTTATACCTGCATGCTTGCTCTTGGTAGGTAGAGATCACTGTGCTGTTGTTGTTGCATATATACCTCTGCATGTGAAATGGCCTTGTGGCCCTTTGCTTGTGCTCAGTGTGTGTGGTGACGTTGTGATCCACCCTGAGCTTGCTTTGCTTCTTTTGACTGGTCTTGTGACCCCTTGCTCTCCCCCACTTTGCCTGTGGTGGTGTGTCAATTTATATGCATGTTATATATGTGTAGGCTGTAGTGGGGTAGCCAATATGGGGTACAACCCCATTGGGGTTTCATATTTGTACCAAACCCTGATCTAGTCAATTCATTCCTGCTACTACATTGTAACTCAAACCAACCACTCGATTTCGCCTACATGAATAGGGTGACTTGAGCTTCAAATGTTTTGCAATTGAATCCAATTTTTCTTTCTTGAGATCCTGGCTTTAAGGGTAGGAATCTGACTGATCATGGAATTTGTTTCAAGTGTTTTAAAACAAGTTGGCAATGAAATTGTAGAATATATTGAACAAAAAATACAGTGGTCCGAGTTCCCTTATTAGCCCCAAAGGGCTCAAATTGACTAGGAATACGGACCAAGACAGGGCCCAAATTCGCCCTCCCCCCAAAACCCACAATTTCAACCAGCCACCCTAGCCTTGTGTCCCACGTTCTCAACAACCTTAGGAGACGCTTTTAGAGCCAGAACAGGCCGCCATTATGTTACGCGGAGGCGTAGGCGGAGTATTTGCAGTCGGGTGCGACGACGGACGAGGAGATATACACTGAACGAAATAATTGTCCATATGTTCATGTTTCAAGACATGAACGGGCATTAGTGGCCATGGTGATTAAGCCTTAATAACTGGACCACATGAGGTTAAAGCCTGAAGGGTTGTACATCTAAACACGCTGCATGTTGGCCATAAACTCGGTTAAACAAGCAGCGAATATAGAAATAGGCAAATACTAGCATAAGGACAGTTTTTTACAATTACAGTCACACATGCAAAGCAAGCAGAATCTAGTACTTGGTCCAGCGACCCTTGGCCTTGAGCACAGCCCGCACACGCCTAGGCATGCTATCGATCAGCTCACTGCACCAAGCCGCAGGGATTTTCTCCCATTCCACTTGTACTCTGTCCCATAGCTCGAGAATGCCTGCAGGGGGGTGGGGGTAAGCAAGCAGCTGCTTCTTCAAGTAAACCCACAGATGTTCTATGGGGTTGAGGTCCGGACTAGATGCTGGCCATGGGAGCACAGAGTACGGCTGCTCGGCAAGGTAAGTTTTGACCATCTTGCATGTATGCTTCGGGTCATTGTCATGCTGGAACACAACGGTCTCGGGATCAAACTCGTAATGCTCAATAGTCTGCTGCAGCTCATCCTGCAGGATTGAACGGTACAACTCGCCGTTCATTCTTCCCTCTATCTTGCACATGAAACCCGCACCGTTGTATGTCATGCATCCCCAAATCATGATGGAGCCGCCGCCATGTTTGACGGTCTGTTTCACATGGTGCGGCTCCATGTGACAGTCCTCCCTAATCCAGGCCCAACTACGGCCGTCGCTACTAAACCGGCATATCTTCGTTTCGTCGCTCCATACCACACGTTTCCAGTCGTCGATCGTCCAGTGCTGATGGTCCTTGGCCCACTGTCTGCGGTCCTTGACATTTTTCGCCGATAATCTAGGCTTCGACGGCTTTTCTACCGCCCTAACTCTGTGCCGCTTGAGAGTGTTTCGCACGGTGGCGCCCGTGACACTGATGCCGTGCGATGAGGAGATCATTCCCGTTGCCGCCTCGGCGGATTTCGATTCACCAGACACTATCGACCTTATAACTATCCTCGCGATTTGCTCTGGTAACTTGCGCGGCCGACCAGGTTTCGCCGGGGACGGCACTAGCTCGTCGAACGTTTTCGGACCGAGGTGGCGGAGGAGCTCGTCATGAACTGCAGACTTTGAAACTCCCAACTCCTGCGTGATTTGGCGATAACTACGCCGCTCCGCAATTCGCTGCATGATCTGCTTCTGTTTCTCCTCGCTAAGGCGCTTCATGCTGCGGGGGTGTTAGCGCTACTCATAAATCGTAGTATCCGCCCGTAATCTCCTGTGTACCTAATTAGTCTAGATCTAACAGCGCACCAAATAAGGAGCGGGACATTTCGGTAAGATTTGTCCGTGTGGGGTGTCGAGAGGGAAGAGCTGACTCGTTAGAGCAAGAGGTTTTGTGGGGGCTATAGGTAGCCTACACAAACTCGTAACAGTCAACCCTAAACCCTATATCCAATATGCTTATTACAAAACTTGTTAAGGCCCCAATTGGGTGGAAGTTATCATACATTTCGAATGCATAAGGACAATATTTTCGTTCAGTGTAGTCATCCACCTGCCCGTCTAGGAAGCCCCGCCCCTCCGCCTTATCCACGTCCACCGGGTGGTGCAGCAGCGCCGCCAAGTGCGAGTACTTGACCGCGCGCTGCAGCTGCTCGGGCGTGTTCCTGAACGTCTGCCCCAACACGCCGTGCACGGCTGACGTCATCTTTACGTCGGAAAGCTCCACGTTGAAGTGCGTTTCCGCCTCCGCCGGCGTCTGCAGCAGCGGATGCACCACGCGCACGCGCACGTCGAGCTCCCCCAGCCCCACCACGCGCACCTGAAGCTGATCCACGTCGAACGGCCCCTCCTTCTCCTCCGCGATTTTGGTAACCACCAGCCCGCTATTCGTCGTGATGGATTCGCCAACGCTGGGAGGGGTGGTCGTGGCGCCGTCGATCTCGAGCAGCGAGAGGAAGCCGTTGTCGCCGCGCTCCTGCTGCTTGCCCTTGCGCGCCACCATGCGCAGCGTGTGGTTCGCGCCGTCGGGCGTCATCCACACGACGCCGATCTCCTTAATCCACGTGTGCAGCTCCGTGCTTGACTCCTTGTCCGTATTCGATGTGGAAACGGCGGGCGGCGCGCCTTGGTAGCCGTTGAGACGCATGTTGACGTGGAATCGACGGTCGGCGAAGAGGCAGAAGGAGCGATCGAAGCGGCCCGTGAAGTCGTAGTGCGTGCCGTGCGCACCCGTGAGATGCGGGTCGTTCTCGACGAGCGCCGTGCCGTTGCACAGCCCGCCCACGAAGCTCAGCGGGTAAGTCGCCGTGTTCGCTGCCTGCGTCGCCGCGTCGCCCGCCATGGGCGTCTTGAAGGAGCCTGACGTGCCCGTGCCGCCGTTCTTCTCCAGCAGGTAACACTGAATGCGGTCGATGAAGCCCGCCACCCTGGCATTCTCACCCGCCAGGCGCGAGCTGCGGAGAAGCAGGTAAGGGTAGAAGGAATCGAAATGAATTACTCTGAGCCATTACACGATCGTGCGGGGCGAGTGGTGGGGAAAAAGGCAGAAAAGGACCCAACCACTTGCAATACTAAATCAAAATCAGCACATATTCTCGTAGCAGCTTCAGGGATCAAGTACTCACTTCTTGAATCAGTGCCACTCGTAGCAGTACGTGGAGCGCGCACACGCGCGGCAGCACTCCTGCAGCGTGTCACCGTACACGCCCTTCACCACGGCGAAAATGGTCCCCACCTCCGTGTACCGCTCGAAATTCACAGGGCCCGACCCGCGCTGGTGCGGCGCGAACTGGCCGCCCTGGGTGTTAAAGAGCCCCTGGAAATCGCCGATGTACTTGTAGTTTTGGTACGTGGATGCCGTGATTGTTGCGGTAGCGAGGTTGTCTATGTAGGGGCAGACATAACGAGTGTGGCAACCGCCGGCGGGCATGTTGGCTGCGTGTGCGGCGTGCATAGTAAGGCTGAGCAGCGCGAGGGCCAAGTAAAGGCTGGTGGGAAGCGCCATGCTTGACCGACGCTTACTATTAGTTGCTTCGAAAAAAGCGCTTGTTGCGATGGTGGACGCTAGCTCGAATAAGTGTGAGATGCAGAACTTGCCTGAGTGAAGCTGTTGGTAGTGATTACTGTGTGATGGTTGGAGTGGATGTGGTTCGACTCGTCTGTTTTATGAACGCAATATGAAAGTCTATATTTTGCATCTGGGAGGGATGGATTTCTGTGCTGGGAAGCTGTGACCCTGGCCGTAGCGTACCGCATGGTACCGAGGTGCGAAGTGTGGAAACGCACGTAACCTACATGGGGTGGGGTGAATGAGGCGAAAACCCAGGGAGTCGCGCATTCTGCAAGAGGCAGGCTGAAGAAAGGTTGAATGTGATTACGCATGCCACCACACGCGAAGCGCCCTCAAGGTCCCTCATGGGCCATGACCCCACCCACCCCAACGTCAGCTCGGATGAGTGGTGTCTGTCTGCCAGAGGGGAGCGTAGTTCCATTCTAAGTATAGTACAGCTGTTCGTGAGGTGTTGATGCAGGGTGCATTCATAGCGCACTGTATTTCGGCTTCGCGAAGTTACCATATCACACGAAGTGAACGAGATGTACACTCCGTGGAGGATGAAGTGATGTCAATGAATGAGCGTCGCATACACTGTTGGCAAAAAACAATACGCTACTTACATCTACTTACCACAAACGGTGTATGATTCTGGTAACTTACAGAAGCTAACATCAAAAACTGATCACACGAAATAAAAAACTATACACAGTATAACTGATGGGCCGTACGTAGCTGAAAGAACAGGTAAATATTCATGTATTGTGCTTCAAAAGATATCAATCGGTAAATGTTCCAGTATTCCACCTATTATAACCTACCGGACATGTACTGTCTTCTTGTTACAATCCCAAGTGGGACTTAGCGAAGGATCGCTCAGGGTTGATCGCAGAGTAGTGTTTGCAGCGGAAGTAGTGAACTCAGGTCAAAGTGAATGTAAATGACTGAGATGATAATAGCATGCACACATCGGGTTTATATAAGAGTACATGGAATACGAAAAGACCTAGGCTAGCCATGTACTCTAAGGGGTACATTCCCTTATTACAGCGAAATTCAAACCGTGCGGCGCGAGAACCCGTTTCAAACCTGTTCCCGCTCTTTTCACTTCGAATGTTTCTGCCTGCATCGGTCTTGATCAGACGGTTGGCAGCGTCGTCTCGACTCTTTTGACTCCTCGACTTCGTACTCGGAAGAGTCGGCTCCTGTAGCATACAGGAATGCCTTTTCATACAACTTCATATTGTAACACTCCCCTTTCATTCCTGTGCGCGGGAAGAGCTGACTCGCTTGACTACTCCGGTGAGGTCGGAGCACTGTTTGTACTGCTAACGTGGAATCATGGGAGCTAGTGGAGAGGAGAAGGAGGAGGAGAAAGGCGGCAAATCTGAGGAGCGGAAGGCCGGGTTCTTCTTCTTCGTGAACGAAGGCGCAACCGACCTCGCTATGGCTGCCAAGGTTCTCCTACACCCCCTCAACCATTGGGTGATTGACTCCGGGAGCTCTTGGCACATGACTCCTCGTGCGGACCTGCTCGATGAGATTCAGCCCGCACCCATCTCTACAGTCACATCCGCGACGGGCGCCAAGGCCAAGGTCATGGGCATGGGATGCGCCAAGTTCATGGGAGCGGATGGAGAGCTCGTGGGGCTGAAGAATGTGCTGTGGGTGCCGGACTTGTGCGCGAACCTGATTTCTACCGGCCGGTTGGGAGATGCGGGTGTGAACACCGAGACGATTGGCTCGGAGCGCTATCGTGCCTACAACGATGAGCGCCTCATTTGGGACCTGCAGTGGAAGGAAGATGTCCACAAGCGCATGTGGCAGATCCCGGTCCTCCCTTGGCGGAAATCGGGCAAGGCGGCAGCGGCGGCATCTATGGAGGAGAGCGTCACCGAGGAGCAGCAAGGTGTGCAAGGAGAGGAGCTGATTGGAGGAAGCGCGGCGGTGAAAGCGTCGGATACCTCGGGCCAAGCGGATTGGGAGACTTGGCATCGGCGGCTCGCACACGTGGCTGTTTCCACATTGGAGGTGATGCACAAGGAGAAGTGCGTGCATGGGCTGCAACTGCAAGGAGATGGCGCTCACTATGGCAGCTGCGAGGCGTGCATGCAAAACAAGTTTGCGCGGTTCCCGTTTCCACGTGCGGAGGGATCAGCGAAGGCGCCACTGGAGGTGGTGCACATGGACCTGGTGGGTCCTATGAGGACTGAGGGGACTGGGGGAGTGCTGTACTTCCTCACCATGGTGGACGAATGGAGCCGTTTCACGTGTGCACGTCCCTTGTCCAAGAAGAGCGATGCTGCAGCGGCAATCAAGGAGGATTGGTTGCCGATGGTGGAGCGGCAAGCGATGCGGCTGGTGAAGGTGCTGAGGAGCGACCGAGGTGGAGAGTTCCTTGGAGCGGAATTCACCAAGTTCCTCAAGAGAAATGGCATCCGACATCAGCTGACCTGCCCTGGAACACCGCAGCAGAACGGCATTGCTGAGCGTGCCAACCGGACCATTGGCGAGGCGGCTAAGACCTTGTTGGGGGCTGCTAGGATGCCCTACAAGTTCTGGCCTGATGCAGTTCGCCATGTCATCACAGTCAAGAACAGGGTCTTGACACATGTTGGCGACAAGCATTGGGTGCCGTACGAGCGCTGGCTTGGGAAGAAGCCATCCATTGACATGCTGCGGGTGTGGGGCTGCATGGGGCTTGTGATGGTGCCTAAGGAGCAGAGGCACAAGCTGGAAGTTGCTGCTGTGTGGGCTGTCCATCTTGAGATGGCTCCTGACTCGAAGGGGTGGCTGATGTGGGACCCCAAGAGCAAGAGGACGATGGTCAGTCGTGACGTCAAGTTTGTGGAGGACGTCATGTACAAGGATTGGCAGCAGCAGCAGTAGGTGCAGATTGGCTTGCGTCTGCAGGAGATTGAGCGGTCTGCAGTGGAGGAGGTTCAGCTGCACCTTGAGGATCTCCCTGGGTCAGAGCTGACCAGTGACCACAGTGGCGGTGGTGAGCAGCAAGGTGCTGGTCCTGCTGCGGAGGAGGGGTTGGAGGATGAGTCGGCACGTGTGGACTCACCATCTCAGCCCGAGCTTGCTGCAAACGCCAAGGTCACCAAGAGGAGTGTGCAGAGAGGAGCTTCACCACATGGGCAGCAGATTGCAACCCGCGAGAAGAGAGTGGTAGCAGCACCCTCAAAGCTGAAGTATAGCCGTTTGGGAGGACCCAAGCAAGGTGCCATGGCGGTTCAGGCGGATGAGGGGGAGGATGAGGAGATGGCGTTCTGTTTCTTCACACCCTTGCCTGGAGAACCAGCCACAGTGGAGGAGGCACTGAGTGGACCCCAGAAGGAGGAGTGGAAGGCTGCCATGGATGCGGAGTTCAACAGTCTCATTGAGAATGGGAATTGGGAGCTTGTTGAGTTACCCGAGGGACGACGGCCAATCAGCAGCAAGTGGGTCTTCAAGGTGAAGAGTGATGCTGATGGTGCGTTGGAGCGGTTCAAGAGCCGTTTGGTCGCCAAGGGGTTTCAGCAGAAAGAGAAGGTCGACTTTGGGGAGATCTTCGCTCCCGTTGCTAAGCCATTGACTTTAAGGACTTCGATGGCTGGCGCAGCTATGAAGGGATGGCACGTGAAGCAGATCGATATCACCACTGCGTTCCTCAATGGAGTGCTGTTGGAGGATATCTACATGGCGCAGCCCGACGGCTATGAGGATGGAACCAGCCGGGTGTGCAAGCTCAAGAAGGCCATCTATGGCCTTAAGCAAGCGCCCAGGTGCTGGTACGAGAAGCTGGAGGAGGTGCTGCTGGGTAGAGGCTTCAAGACGTCCCAGGCGGATCACAGCTTGTTTTTGCTTGGAGAGGGGGAGCAGCTGCTCTTGCTGCTGGTGTATGTCGACGACATACTGCTGTTCTCACCTTCCATGGAGCAGATTGAGAGGACACAGAAGCTGCTGATGGACAACTTCAAGTGCAAGATGCTGGGGGGTGTCCACTACTACTTGGGGCTGCAGATTGAGAGGGATGTTGAGAGGAGGTGGCTGAAGGTACATCAGTCACACTACATCTCTGGTGTCATGGAGCGGTATGGTGTGATTGGAGGTCGCACTGTTATGACACCGTTCCCTGCGGGCTTCAAACTGAAGAAGGCAGCTGAGGAGGATGATGTACTCGAGGATGAGCAGCAGAATGAGTACCAGTCACTCATTGGGAGTGTGATGTATGCAGCTGTGCATACACGACCTGATGCTTCATTCGGAGTGGGGCAGCTGGCCAGAGTTGTGCAGCGGCCCACTGAGGAGCAGTTGGAGGTGGCAAAGCGCTTGGTGCGCTACCTCGGATCAACGGCATCTGCTGGTGTTCAGTTTTCAGCTAGCGGCCAGCTGAAGCAGATTGGAGCAGATGGGGTCACGCCTGGAACCTTGAAGCTGTCGTGCTTCACCGATGCCACATGGGCATCAGAGGATGAGGATCAATCATCCGTTGGCGGCTTTGTGTGCATGGTCGGAGGTGGACCAGTGAGCTGGAGGTCCAAGAAGCAGAGTGAGATTGCTCAGTCTTCCGGAGAGGCAGAGTACATGGCGATGTACCATGCCATCAAGGAGATTGTGCTCCTGAGGAAGCTGCTGGAGGACATGGGAGCTGAACAGCAGGGACCTACATCACTTTTCTCCGACAGCAAGGCTGCTATTGGCATGGCCAATAATCCTATCCTGAATGGGCTGAACAAGCACATGAAGATTAAGTGGCACTGGGTGAGGCAGATGGTGAAGGAGGGAGCTGTTGAGCTTCACCATGTGAAGGCTAGCAAGCAGGCGGCAGATTTTCTCACCAAGAGACTTCCCGAGGGCGCACATTGGAAGTATGCTAAGATGTGTGGCATGGCATTGCACTAGTGTGGGCAGCAGTGTCATGAGTGCATGTGTGATTGTGTGTGCATGCAGTCCGTTAGTCTGAG